CCGCCCCGCGCTCGGCCAGGGGGGGGGAACCGGTCCGTATGTGGGATCCGAACCCTCGGGCGGGAGCGCCGCCGCGCTTCCCAAGCGGTGCACTATCCAGTGCGCCACCGGGCCGGCCCGACATGGAACTTTTAATAACTTCAGACCTTGCTTGTTCGTGAGGTGCCAAAATTTCATGGGGGAATCATGTTTGAGTGCAGGGGCCTGCAGGCAACTCCGTGTCTAGGGACTCAGGAGTTAGATGAGGATGTCCTGGCATTAGAGATAACAGCTCTCAGGGACAGTCCAGCTTGGGTCATAGGTGAAGAAGGGACCCTATGACCATGAGTGGGCAGTATATATGATAGCAACATCAGTCCTTGAGAAGATGAAGCCACACTGGACTTGAAAAGATGAAGCCACATCCCTGTGCTAAGGATGAGGACCCTTCTGAGGGCTGTGCTCATGCCTGGTATCCATCACCTGAGGGACAGGCACACTCTTAAAACAAAAAAGTAAATACAAGAGGGAGCAAGGGTTGGGAGACAGAACGAGGCCTCTCGGGATCAGTAGGACCAAGAGAGTGCTTTCAGGTAATGGATGCTACAGGCAACTGTGGCCATGTGCTCATGACCAGGAGCTGGACAGAAAGGGACTCTCGCAGAGGCTTATTTCCCCTGGGGCTTCATGAAATGGGAGGGAGCTGCCAATCGCCTGAGATTGAATTAGCTAGATAAGGCTTCGAGCCCTGTGCTTTGTAAACCAGATTGTTTATATTCCATGTACTCTCTCTGTTTATTTCTCTTTGTTCTTTGTCAGTGTTCGGAAGTGTTGGAAGTTCCAGTCTATCTTAGATATATTCAGGAATGCCCAAGAAAGAGCTTTGTCCAGGTTTGGGCTTAATTACATTAAAAAGGAGGAAGGTAATATTGTGGCCTGAAAAATAAGAACAGAGGACCCCCAAGAAGAAGGTGAGCCCTGAGGAGAACAGAATCCAGCTGTTTGGAGTAGGGGTTGTGCTTTCTTGTTAAACTTGGAAGTTCTTTTTTAGGGGACGTGGTGTGTCCTAGCACAGGTTTGTTTTCAATGGTGAACATTTTCCCCAGCTCTCTAGATGGCTCTTCCCTGGAATGATGGGTTTGACCCATGCAGGCTGATTTTTACCCACACTGGCATTTCCAGGGATTTTGTGCAATTCAATAATTCAATGAATTGTAACCCATTTCATCAGACCTCTCACTCTGGTTGAATCTTCCACCAACTGGACTCCATGGGTGGTTCCTATGTGTTTTGGAGCATATCCCTCCTGCTTCTAATCTTCACTTTATTGCCTTATTCGTTGCATGCTATGAATTCCAGAGTTTGCCAGCAATGAGGCATCAACACATACCCTATCTCAAGTCCAGCAGCCAATTAGATAATTACTCATTTTGTTTGGAGCTGCCTTGGACCTCAGGATAGCCCCAGAGTCTAAAAACAAAGACTTTGGTGAAGTGTTCCAAAGTTGCTATAACTACATTTAAAAAAATAAAATTCAAGACCTATAGTTTGAATGTATTAATAGGAAAAATAGAGCAGAATATTTGAAATTGCGGCTAGGTGATGTGGTCACTATATCTATAGGTCAGAGTACACCTCTTCTATGGGTACCACTTTATTCTGTCCCTAAGCATGTACTTCAATGGGATAATCCTGGCCTGGTAGGGCTGAGACCTCATTCCCATAATACTTCATTGCGTGGAACGCCCTGGAACTAGATGAGATTATTCCCAGTATTTTGCATCCTTCGGGCCAGGTAGATCCACAAGTGGGACAAGATGCAGGATCTATACTTTCTTTATCTACCTGTTATATTTGTTCCCCCTGATTTAGAAAAAAATACGCTAGAAATATAGAGTATTTTAAAAGAAAAGCCCAAGTATTTCCAATCCCAAGTGAAGATACTGTCTGGATGACCAAGCTTGTTTGGTCAGCTTGAAAGGGATCTTGCCACTGAGCTGAGTGTCCCCTACCTCATGTGTTCTCTCTGCCCCTGTTCTTGTTCTTGTAAGACCTCCCCTCCAAGGCTTCAGGCCAGCTCCCCTGGCTTTGGCTCTATCATGGGGTTGGCTTGGAAATGAACCAGCCATAGGTGGGCTGGAAGGGACTCCTCTCCTGGTCCTTCAACCCTTCTCACCTCCTGAGAGCTCTTGCTGTCTGCCTGCCATGACCTCCTCTGACCCCCCAACTCTTGCAAACTCCCATTGTTAACTATTTTGGCTCTTTGGGATTTCTTCTACCTTCTGTCCAACATGAACACTGCCCTCTTGGTTTCTGTTGGCTACTAACTTGGACCCCAGACCCACTATAGCGCTGGACTGGCATTTCCAGGGATTTTGTGCAATTCAATAATTCAATGAATTGTAACCCATTTCATCAATGGCAAAGGCTCCAAACACAGGCTTCCCACCTGCTTCTCTGATCCTTTTCCTCTTCCTCAGTTTCTTCTGCCTCTTCAGGCTCCTCAGGGCTCTCACTCTTGTGTTCTTCCTCCTCCTCCTTCAGGTCTTGAAGGTCTTTGGTCTTCTTTAGACCCTCCTGGTATCTGGAGGGAAAAGAGGAACAATTGAGACTGGAAAGGCCAGATGGGGAGAATCCTTTCCTGAGTTCCTCGGGGAGGGGACATGAGCACCTCAAATAATTACGCACTTCCTGTGGTTCCACACAACAGGAAAAAGCTGGGAAGCTCTGCTGAATCCCAAGGTGGCTCATGTCAGTACCATTTCCCCTCACTCCTCAGTCATCCTTCCTGTTTATGTGAAAGTGTGACAAAACTGACAAAATGTAGGTGCGGGGTCTCCTCACTGGGTCCTCATCCTACAAAACATTCTGTAGGGATAAGATTACATCTGCTCTGCGTAACCTCGGACGTTCAGCCTCTCATCTGTAGAATAGAGAGGGTGATACCCATCTCACAGTGTGTTGGGACATTTTTGGAAGTGCCAGGCACATGGCCTGACCTAGAGAGGTATTCAGTAAATGCTAACAAAGTCAGTGGGGGCATTTACCCCACGAATTCTGAGAGGACAGTTGTGGTGAAAAGACAGGATTTCCAAGAGAAACCCTGAACATACTGTTTACTTGTCCTACAACTCTGTTTAAGAACAGTAGTTTGGCTGGGGCAACCCTCCCACTGTGTGTGTGACTGCCACACAGAAGCCCATGGGTTCTGTGTCAGGGAGAAGATGCATGTCCCTCATGTGCTGCAGGGACAGGAGAAGCCGAGGGCGTGATGCCTGGTTGGAGGTAATTCTCTACTTTGAGGCCTAGGCTTTGGCCCTGCTCAGTGTCTGTCCCTCCAGTGACTGACAAGTGGCCACAGATGCCACTGAAGCTCAATCAGAAAAGGGGATGGTTGGAAGTAGAGGGGACTCCAGTTTATAGGAGGAAGGGGTGAGCAGGGCAGTTCTAGTGAGCAGAGTTGCAGCTGCTCTTGGGCATTGTTGGCAGCAACATGACAACTCTGAGCACATGTCAGGAAGTCTCAGGCACCACCAAGAGGAACCCACCCAAGGCCCCTGATTTCCAGACGATCCTGGTCAGCAGCACTTTGGTGGCTTTCTGCCTAAAAAGAGAACAGTGTAGTTATTATCTAACCACACCCTCTGACTCTGCTTCCTTCTGTCCTTCCTGTGGAGCAGTCTTGCTCTTTCCTGTGTAGTTCCTTCCTGAGGCAAGGAGGCCCTGGGACCACTGGTTGCTTCCCTAAGCCTCTAAGAAACAGGAGAGGCCCGTGGGAAGGTATCATCTGTGACCTGCCAGGTGCCTTCAAGGTGGTCGAGGTCTGACTCACCCCTTGTTGTAGGCTTCTTCCTCCGCCTTGGCCTTGGTCTCCTGACCAGCCTCCTCCAGGCAGCCTGGGGTTGGCGCAGGAGCAGGGGCTTCACAATCTGGCTCTCCGTTTGTCTTTCCACTAGTGAGAAGAGGGAAGTACAGGGTGTCATTGCAGGGGGAGGGTGAGTGTGTGAAAACAAAACCATGTCTTTGGCCTGATTCCTAATTAGAAGTGAGGAAACTTGGGTTCTTTCTGTGGCTTTCAGATGTTTTCCAACCCTTCTACCCTGCGACAAGATTTTATAAAGGCCCTAGTCCATGAATCCTCCCTATAGCCCCATCTCCCCTTCTTCTCATGCTCCCAAATCTACCTTTATTCTCATTCCAGGAGGTGCTGTGAGTGGACAGGGCACCACTGGGAGCTCCATAGTGCTGAGATGAGGAAAGTGGGGGTGGAACAAAATATTTGGTGTCATTCCACACTTGTAGACCGTCTTTACCCTCATGATCCCTGCTCATTCTTTCCAATATCTATTGAGTATTGACTAAGTCCCAGGAAAACATTGTAATGTGCTGGGGACAGGTTAAAAAACAAAGGAGCTTTTTTTTTTTTTTTGCCAATATGGAGCTTAGCAGAAGAGAAAGACTCCCAAAAAGGAAAAAAATACACACTTAACTACAAATTATGATAATTTTTATGAAAGAAACAAACTCTGTGCAGTGACAGAAAATACCAAGGACAGAATGTGTGTAGAATGACTGGTCAGGAAAGGCCTCCTGAGGTGCTGAAATTGAAGCACAGAAGTGACGGATGAGAAATCAGCTGTATCATAGCAGAGGAAAGATCATCCCAGGTAGAAGATGCAGGATGTATGAAGACTGAGACAGAAAAGGTATTGGGACATTTGAGGAACTGAAAAAGGATGTGAGGCAGGAGTTAACTTTTGGANTTTTTTTTTTTTTTGCCAATATGGAGCTTAGCAGAAGAGAAAGACTCCCAAAAAGGAAAAAAATACACACTTAACTACAAATTATGATAATTTTTATGAAAGAAACAAACTCCGTGCAGTGACAGAAAATACCAAGGACAGAATGTGTGTAGAATGACTGGTCAGGAAAGGCCTCCTGAGGTGCTGAAATTGAAGCACAGAAGTGACGGATGAGAAATCAGCTGTATCATAGCAGAGGAAAGATCATCCCAGGTAGAAGATGCAGGATGTATGAAGACTGAGACAGAAAAGGTATTGGGACATTTGAGGAACTGAAAAAGGATGTGAGGCAGGAGTTAACTTTTGGACAGGATAAATTTACGATGCCTGTAAGGTATCCAAGGGGAGATGACAAGTGGACATTCGGATATACCGAAGTGAGGCAGAGAAGAGCCCTAGGCTTGGGATATTCATTTAGCTTCATCAGCGTATAGTTGATATTTAAAGCCAGGGGAATGGATAAAATTGCCTAAGAAGACAGTCTGAGGAAAGACGAGAAGAGGACCCGGGACCACGCCATGAGCATCTTTGCACTTGGCTCAGATGGAAAAGGAGGAGCCCACACAGGAGACTGAGAAGTAGCAGCCAGAGAGATGGGAGGAAGACCAGGGCGGCATGCAGCTGGGGAGCCGGGAGAGGAGAGCTTGTCAAGGAGGGAGAGTTAAGTGTGTCACACTTCTGAGAGTCTGAGTCAGGTGGGTACAGACAAAGTGACTATTAGATTTGATAATATGGAGGTCAAGAGGAGCTTTGATGTCATGATGGGAGCCAAGGACAGCTGGGAACGAACTTGGTAAAGAGTGACAGGTGAGAAGGGGACGACACAGACACAGTAATCTGATGAGGAAGGGCAGGAGAGGAGTAGGTCGCAGAGATGCAGAAGCGGGTCAGGGGCGAAAACACATTTGAATATAGGTAGAAGAGATCCTGTAGAGGACATGAGAGAAAGGGATGACCAAAGGAACAAAGTCTTTGACAAGGGAAGTAGGGACAGACCTTAGAAAGATGGGGAAATCTCTCCTCAGTTATAAGAAAGGGAAGAAGATGAAGACAGTGGGTTAGGGGTCTGGGGAAGGGAGATGAGAGGCTCCTTTCTGACCGAAAGCTTCAATTTTCTCTCTAAAGTGGAAGACAAGGCCGCCTACGAGTGAGAGGTAGAGGGGACCTAGGAAGGGTTGAGGAGAGAGGAGAAGGGGCAAGGGTCATGTGGGAAAGTAGGAAAAGTAGAAAAGCACAGTAAGATGGCTGGGCAGCACTGGGAGCCCACTGGAGGTGTGGGATCACAAGTTGAAGGGAGTTATCTGACGGCCATGCCTGCCCTGTAAATCCTACAGCCCACAGAGGCATCCAGAATCCCAGCGGAGGAAAGCTGGCATGGAGGAGCCCTCAAACAAGGCAGAACCGTGAGCGCAGCTTTCCAGCCGGGACTCTGAAAGATCACAGCTGCCATCCCTCCCTGACCTCTCAGGCGGGGTTTATGAGCGAGCCTTACATCTTCTCATTCCTGGCATCGGTTTCCCATCTCTTCGTTTTCCTCAGACCTTGTACAATTTACATTTCATCAGGCTGGAAACCAAAACCCATTGTGAACAAGAAAGATAACACTCTAAAAATACCAGCTATTCATAACATTTCTCCTTTTGCAAATTACATTATCTATTCTCTTCCATGTGGCCTTTGCCTAATGTGCAGTTTCCTATTTGTCCAAATGATTGGGTCAAGAGAAGAAAAACATAGCTACAGCCAAGGGTAGGGAAAGTAACTCTTTTATGGAATGTATTTATAGATGAGAAATGAAACATTGGTACCAGACTTTTAAGTTCTTTTACCTACAGCTGTCAACCTTAGAGGCTCCTTAATGTTAAACATGTATGAAGGAGGACAGTGTAGTAAAGAGGAAAGAAACTTGCCTGAGGCAAAGCTGGGTTCAAATCCCAGCTCCAACACATGCAAGTTACTGAACCTTCCTGAACTTCAGATTCATCAGCTGTAAAATGGGATAATAATATGTACCTGATGGTGGTGGTGTAAGAATTAAAGAAGAAGTGTAAGTGAACTCTCTAGAATATGGTACTCAACAGATAATGTTCATTATTATTGTTGCTATTGTTATGTTGTAAATTTATTGGTAAATTTTGGGAGCAATCTGAGCTTCTTCCAAACCTGATCCATAAAAAATCCAAGCTGATAAATTACCAGGCTATTATTTATATCTTCAAGGGAAAACTTGATATATCTTATTCTAACACTTCAGAGTCAGAGGAATCCTGAATGTGAACTAATTTAAAGTATGGTAAAATTTGCATTAAGTTAACATAAAGTTGCTTTAATAAATTTCTCAGAGGCATTTCTATTGTGTGCCATAACACACTCATGAACCTTAGGGTTTGGCTGACAAAGTGACTGTAAACAAAACTTTCACTGGCTGCCATGGTCCTCACTCCCCCCGACCGCAAGGTCCTGAGGCATGTAGCCTGGGGAAGCCAAACCCGCCCACAACCAGGCATGCAGCTGCTACTGGGAAAAGAGCACACTGAAAGCATTTCCACACAGGTAGCCCACCATAGCCACCATGATTGCCATGGCTGCTGTAAAAGCAGCTAGTCACCATGGTAGTAGTTACAACCACCATGCAGGTGGCCCACCAGACACTTGACTGCATTGACACAAGGAGAGTCACCAGTGGAGACCAAAAAAAAGAGAAGAGGATATCTCTCTCCACAAAGCACACTCCAGAGTCATAGAAGAAGCATCTGCTCTATGATAAGAGTGGGGAACCTGAATACCCCTCTCTCAGCACTGGACGGATCATCTAGGCAACAAATCAACAGAGAAATAGCTAATCAATCAGAAGGAGAGAAAACATGTTTGGTTATTAGAGAGGGGAGGGGGAAAGAGATGGAGAGAGATTGGATAAGGGGCA